CTGACGTGGCTGCCGACGTGGCTTTTTTTTTTCGGCCCCTTTCCGGGCGCTACAGACCACGCTATGAAGACTAGTAATTCTCTATTTTGATAACTTTGAACAAATAATTACTTAAGATTAAAATAATATTTATACTAAACATTTTATGTTAAGTTGTTAATTAAAGTACTAATAATAATTCAACTTATACTTAAATATTTTGATTCCCAAAGAGCTCAACAAAAAAGCCCACATGCTGTCTAAATGGGCTAATAAAAATGGTTTAATAGTCTAGCCTGCTTATGATTTTCATAAAAAGCAACAAAAAAAAACAATTGTTGTTTTAGTGTTATTAGAAACTATTTTGTTAATAGGTAGATTCATTGATATCGGTGACTTAACTCATTAATGTATTAATAGAACTGCTGTGATTAAATTTGATTAAAAAATTTTAGTGAGTCTATTATATTTTTTAAACAAAAAAAAATATTGTGTGATGGTTATATTTTCTTAATCCTAAAATTAGGATGATTTAGAAATCTGATCTAATTTTTTTTGTAAAAAAAAAAAAGGTTTCAAAAATTTTGTTTACAAGAACTGATTATTTCAGAATTCTAGAAGTTTCTCTAAGTTCAGAGAATGAGATTGGTTTTCAAGTAATATATATATATATATAATGTATATAAAACTAAAGGACAAATTTTCTAATTATAGATGCCAGCCAAACCATGTTTTAATAAAAAGTATAAAAAAAAAGTGGAAATGGAAAATGTGACGTTCTCAAATATAATGTATATAATATAAATTAATTTGTAAACATGCAAGTTGAAATTGTATTTAAGAATTTTGTACAAAATAATAGTTGAAATTCTTTTAATACCAAAGAAAATAAAAGTAAATATTGAGTTTTTTTTAAAAAAAAAAATTATTAATTTAAAATTTTAAACTAAAAAAATTTAAATATCATAAAATAATTTTTATTAAAAAATATAATAAATTTATTAAAATTTAATCACCATAATGTTATTAATTATTAATAAAATATATAATTAATTTAACTAAATTAAATATTACTGATCAATCATTAATAATTTATAATATATATGTAAAATAATAATTTTAATAAAATTTGAATTTATAATTTTTAAATAAAATTAAAAAAATATAATAATTAAATCACCTTCTTATTGAAAGTAGTTAATGCATGTTTGACCAAGTGGTAATACAGGTTTTAACTCAATGTTTAAAACGTGTATTAAGATTGAAATTTTTATTTTGTAGTCAATAAATTAAATGAGATTGGAGGAACTAAAGACATAATTTATTGAATTGAAATTCAAAAGTCCCAACCCAATAAATTAGATTTTACTACTTACCCCTTTTATTTACAGAGAATATTTTCCTTTCAAAATTATTTTATTCAGTTCATTTTTTTTTTCTTTTTTAATCTTTCCCTTCAAATAATAAAATATACAAAACCCATTATTGAAAACATAAAATGAGTAGTCCATCATTTCTATAAAAATTATTATTTTATTTTCTCCTACTATTATCAAGTGTGCATTGTAGTTCTACTCCTGTATGTGGAGAGAAGCAAAGATATCCATCCTCTTCCCTATCTCTGCACATCTCCTGAGGTAACCCAAAAACTCTCCAAAACTGTAATACCCAAAACCTAAAACACTTTTTCTCAGTCACCCAGTACCAGAAATCGAAGCTACAAACAAGGCATTCAACCAAAAATCTCTCCGAAGAATGATTTGATCTAAATTCTTCACTGCCTCAAATGGGTTTCGCCTCGACATCCTTTTTCTTCTTTCTCTTTTTGGTTCTCTTCAACAATCTTGAGCTCAACCCAGTTGAATCTGCTCCTGATTACACCGTACTTGTCTACAAGGGCTGCTCGAAGCAATCTTTCACAGATCCAACTGGGTTATACTCGCAAGCCCTCTCTGCCCTCTTCGGCTCCTTGGTTTCACAATCTACTAAATCCAAGTTCTTCAAGACCACCACCGGAACCGGGCAAACCACCATCACCGGTCTCTTTCAGTGCAGAGGAGATTTAAGCAATACTGACTGCTACAACTGTGTGAGTAGGCTCCCGGTTTTATCAGATAAACTATGCGGTAAAACCATTGCTGCAAGGGTACAGCTGTATGGGTGTTATATTCTGTATGAGATAGCTGGGTTTGCTCAAATTTCTGGCATGGAAATGCTGTACAAAACTTGTGGAGCAACTAATATTGCAGGGGCTGGGTTTGAGGAGAGGAGGGACACTGCTTTCTCGGTGATGGAAAATGGGGTGATTAGCGGCCATGGATTCTATGCTACAAACTATCAGTCTGTTTATGTGTTGGGACAATGTGAGGGAGATCTGGGGGATACAGATTGTGGTGGGTGTGTGAAGAGCGCTGTTCAACGAGCTCAGGTTGAGTGTGGCGGTGCTATTTCAGGACAAGTTTATCTCCACAAGTGCTTTATTAGCTATAATTATTACCCCAATGGGGTACCCAGGAGATCTTCATCAGCTTCCTCCTCTTCTTCCTCTTCATCAGGTACAGTATTAGAAAATACGAGGACCGGGTTTGTTTAGTTTCTTCTTTTGCTTTTGGATTCTGGGTTTGTCCATATAGATCTTTTTCTCTGAATTTCTCTGTAATATCAAAGGGATCTAGTGGATAAGGTAAACTAGTAGTGGATTCCAGGTTGAAGAAGCAATTAATGTTTGATTGAGAATGGTGAATCAGGGTTATAGTGTTTAACAAAATGAATTGATTGATGTAGGGACAGGGCAGAATACGGGGAAGACAGTGGCTATAATACTTGGAGGGGCAGCAGGAGTGGGGTTCCTAGTCATCTGTCTGATGTTTGCAAGGAATTTGATGAAGAAACATGATGGTAAATACATACATACACACATACAGCTATGGATATGAACATAGTATTTTAGATGCTTTTATGATGAACATGTATATGCTTTTCTTTCTTTTTTGAAAAGGCTGGTATGATTGAATTTGTGCAGATTTTTAAGTGGAGCAAGGTGAAAAAGCGGCAGAGAGATGTCTTTGGAGGTCGAATTGTTTCAGCAAATTTTTCTTCTTTTAGAAGTAGAGATGGATAAAAATTGAATGAAGGAAGAAGAAGAAGAAGAAAAAAGGGTTAAATTTTGGTGGGTGGGTCTAATTCTGTGCTGTGTTTTTACAGTTGGGGATGGTAATTTTTGTAGGTAAGAAATGTGAAAACATGGAATTTTTTTTTTCACAAAGGTGAAAAAAACCAAAAACAAAAACAAAAACAAAAATTATATATATAAGAATGAATTGGGACCATTTTCATTGGGTGTTTTTGTCTCTTCTTTTCTCTCTTCTCCATGTTAATGCATCTTCATTTTCTTTACTGCTTTTTATGCTTTTTAGAAAGTAGATCACTTAGCTTAAGAAGAAGTAGCCTGTTTACTTTTTTTTTTTTTTTAATTAGTTAATAATTATAGTTAGATTTAGGTATTAAGTGAGATTAGCAGGCACCTTTTTTAAGAAAATTTTCAATTTTTTTTTTTTTTAAAGAAATTAAATTTTATGATGATACTAAATTTAATTTATAACCATTTGCAAAGAGCATAAGAGTATAATAGACAAGAGACAGCTAGCTTCAATTATCATAATTTGACTTTCCCTTGTCAGGACTTTTCACCCACAGGTTTATATACCACCTCTCTTGTTTTATATATATATATATATATGTATTTTATATTCTTTAATTATTGCTTCATCTATACGAAAATTGGATTAATGATTTCATTGTTTTAAAAAAATTTTTGTCATGAAAAAAATGTTAAAACATTCTTTGTCAAACATTTTTATTGAACTTTATTTGGAAGAAAATGTTTTGCATAATATAAAATTTCTTCATACTGATTAGTCAACTGAAATCTAATTTTCTTTGTTAAATTTTAAAACTCTTTTATGGTGCATGAACCCAGTATTGAACTAATGACGTGTAATTTATAATGCAATTATAAAAAAAATAAATTTTATATTTTGATAAAATTTAATTTTATAATCTTTAAATAAAATTTAACTATCAGTAATATTTATTTATTAAACTTAACATATTTGAATGTAGTAAAGGACAAAAGAAAATAAGTAGTAATAATGCAGACTTAAAACTTATGTGTCTTTTTTTCTTATAATATATGCTTTAAACATTATGTTAGTTGTACTACTAGATAGGCATGATTCATAGAAGGACGAGTATGGTCACATGGCTTGCCTTCCCCAATATATCACTTCTCATTATTTAACTAGTTATGATTTGTACTATACTAACTGATGTAATATTATAAATAAATATATTTTTCTTTAGTTTTTTTTTTTTTTGTGTGGAAAACATAAACAAACATACTTAAATATTGAAATCGAAAAAGTAAATACGAATGTTAAAATTAATTTTTAATTAAAATATATATACATATTACCTATAAAAAGTGAGACAGTTATATTAAAACCTTTTAATTATAATAATTTTTTTAAAAAATTATTTGAGACGTATAATTTAAATATTTTGTAATCATTTGAACTTTAAGTGTGGTTAAAATTATTTAAGAAAAAGTATTTAATTTTTTACATGCCTAAAATTTTGAACTCATAGAGAGTGTTTCACTCCTCTTATCTTTGAGTTATAGATTGCAAAATTCAGGAGTTCTATAATAATTTTCAAAATATGAAAACAGAGTAATTGAAAATTATGAATATATATATATGAATAAAAGCATGGTAGTTTAAAATTACAATTTGGTGAAACTAGGGTAATTTAAAAAAAATTAATTTGTTAACTTTAAGTATGTTCATAAAAAAATAAATTTATTATAAAAAGGTCCTTATTTTACCATTGGCTCAATACCATGTCCAAGAACTTTGACTGTCTGGCAATTATTAAATTTGTAAAGTTGAAAATGTAGTCTTATACATCAATGAGGATTATTTTTTGGTCAATTCCCATTAAATTAATTTCTTTCCAAAGTTACCCTTCGTCTTCCTACATTCGAAACGAGAAAACGCTAAACCCCTGCAACAAAAGAAAATGGGTAAAACATCGAACCCCGGAAACTTGTAATCTGTTGAAAAAGTTGAAGGTCTGTTGAAAAAGTTAAGGTCTTTCCGACTTTTAAGGATATAGCTTGAAGACTTGGGGAGTATTTTTAGATTTATTTCTCTTCATTTGGTGCTGTAGTATGTTGCACAGACGTGGGTTGATCTCGAAATTGAATATCTGGCGGTTTTCTACTGCAATACGGTGTCGTATAGACGACGAAGGTGACTGGGCTTACTCGTCGGAGTGGTGGGGCACCGAATCCGATGGTCACAGTATTTTCCGCTCCACTTCTGAGAAAGGCAACGGCGTCGTTTCTGTCCTCGCCTACCCATCTTCAAGACCCGTTAGTTCCTCCACTCCCCGTGCTTGCTTGTATGTGTATATATGCCTGCTGAATATGTTTTAGGTAAATTAGGCCTGATTAGCAAAGTTTCAATTGTGGCTTAATTATTTGCATTTTAGGTTTTTCACTTACACAACATTTTCGAGTTCTTTTTTCGATTTCTTGCTTTCAAGTTGACTGGCTTTTGTTGGTAGATTCCGAGCTGTAAGCTGATGTTTTGGTGTGAATTTGCTTTCTGCTATTTTTCAATGTCAGCTGAATCTTAATGACATTGTTTATAATTTTTCAGAGTGAAGCTTCTTGGCCTGAAACTGAGAGATGGCTTGAGCAAAGGTATGCAGAGGTACGGCCAGGTTATGAACAGAGAGAAAGATTTAGGATACTTGGATATCAATGGCGTGCACTTAGGTTTAACGAGGATACTCGCCAGAGCGCAGTTAAGGTAATGGCTGCTTATAAGGAATCAGAACCTAGCTCCATATGCTTAATGCAGCAGCCACATTGCTTGGCTGTTCCATGTAAGTTGCTTCTGTTTCTCATCATGTTCATTCGGTTATCAATTCTGAAGCTAGTATTAGAGCTACCATCGTTGCTTTCCCATATCCGACAGAGACTAGATGAATATGGAAATGGAATTTATTTCATTCCCCAGATGTTATCTAAAGTTTAATCAGATTTCTCTTGAAACATACTGGGGATATGGTTAATGTTCTAACGTTCTAGCTTTGCTTTCTTTTCTTTAAGTCCTGCACCGGGTCTCAAGAGTTTCATGTCTATGGTGCCTATTTTAGGGGACCACTCTGAGTTTGGTTCATGTTCTAATTCTATGGATAGCAATGAGAATACAAATAAATGTACAATAGAAATATAAACAAAAATAGAAATATAATTCTAAGCCAATTCTAGGTCCAGTGCTTGTTAGTTGTTTTCATAATTTATTTAATGACATGTAGGAATACGAGATTCATGTTTGTAAAAATTGAGATATGAATGAAGTTTATATAATTCTTAAAATTTTAGTTATATGCTATGTAAAAATAAGAATATAATAGATTTGAATCAAACACATTATAATTATTTTTCAGTCGCATTTTTCATCAGTGTATTTTGAAGAGTTATCATGGATTGGAATTAAATAATTGTGATCTTTTCGGCTCTTGTTACTCAAACCTGCTGATCAGTTGTTAACAAAAGAAGTCTAGGTATTTTTATTTGCTTCAGTTTAACCAATATTATCTACATGTCAGCATTCAGTACTGATGGTTCTAAATTAGTTATGTGCTCTGCTACTTATTGTTTTTTCTATTCTTCTTTGTCTTAAATAGTCACTTTTAATCATTTAATTCTTTTGCAGATTTGAAGAGTATGGTATCAGTTGGTCTTGTTACCTTAGCATGTTGTAACTATGATCTCCACACGGCGGTACATGGGAAGAGACAAATGCACATCTTGTGCATTGGTCATGGTGGAGGAAGCTTACCGTTGTTTTTGGCTAGTAAAATTCGAGGTTGGAGAAAGTTCATTTTTTTTTTTTTAATTTTGTTATATGGACCTCTTATTCAGTACAGGTAGAACTGTTGATTGGTATTACTTGCCTCCAGATTGAAAATGCGTAAAAATTGCAAATATTTTACATCCTTTTAGTCAAGTAATTGGTTATCAGTCAGTCATTGTGGTTGTCACTGCCCTAGCTTACTCATTGATCCGTAATTGGTGTGCAATTTTCTTATTAGTTTAGTCCCCTTAAACTGCACTGTTTTTGTGTATAATTTGTCAAAAAGATACTCTATCATTTCTTTAACCATGGGAGAATAATGATGTGAACATAGAAGAGAAAGTTGAAGAATTTCAGTTATAGTTGTGTAAAACGACACGGAGCCCTTTTTTTTTTTTTATCCGTATAAGCAAAGTTCACTGATGAATGGTGCATGAGTTTTGAGCGAAGATTTAGTTGAGTACTATGAAGTCCATCTGGACTGCAAAGAGCATAGCCCACATATGAGAGCTGTAATCTTATTTTGTTCTTTGGAAAAAGTGGAGTAAACAAAAATATTGTATCTTTTCTCGTTTTTAATTTTCTGCTAACACTCAGTTTTGGAGAAATTTCTTTGGATTATTTGCTAACTGCTGGGTTCATGACATCTAATCACGTGCTTCTCTTTCAGGAGCTATTGTTCACATAGTTGAAATTGATCCACTTGTTATCTCAGCTTCAATCCAAGCCATGGGATTCCCAGCTTTCTCACTAGTAACCTCATCTGGTTCACGTGCCTTATCAAAGCCTGATATCATAGATGATGTGGTATGGAAAGGCATCCACGAGAGGCTTTACCTGCACGAGTCAGATGCTGAGAAGTTTGTCCTTGAGAAAAACAACGTGTACGATATTGTCTTCATTGATGCATATGATGGTGACGACATCTTTCCCCACAAGCTATGGGACCCTCATTCCCCATTTCTCAAAGCTCTCAGTAAACGGCTACACCCCAAACACGGTACTGTGGTAGTAAACCTTCATTCCGATTCTGACGTCACAGACCCTGATGGAACGATTTCGTACTTCTATCAGCAGATTCCGCTGATGGGAAAGCATGTCTCGAAAGTCGGCTATGCATATAGAGAAGTCTTGGTGGGGAACAAGAACAATGGTTTAGGATTCGTGGTTTCAGTCCCATGGGTGTGCAACTCTTCTCTTGTTGTTTGCAAGGGTTTTGGGCTAAGGGGAAGGCATTGTAACCGGGAGATGGTTTTGAACAGTCTGATATCCAAGTGCATTGAAGTGGATCATGTTCTGAACTTTCCATTCTCCTGCTTGGACTACATAAAAAGAGGGTTTACACTCATTGATTGATTCTTCTAATCTCTGTTCTTTTTACCATGTACTGGTCTTTTAAATTAAGTAAATCCAATGACTTAATCTACGAAGTGCAGACTTGAAACTGAAAGTACTAATATGATTGAAAGTGGAAAGAGAAAAACCAATGGATAAAAGACAAATTTTATTTATTGATTAATTAGTGAGAAGTTTAGAACAAAATATAAACTATATCCATGGTATTATCTATATTTTTATATTCTTCGATTATTAATGATATCATACGAGAGGTTACAGATTCAAATCCCACTCTCAACATCTAATTTTTTTTAATTATTTAAAAAAAACAAGTATTATTTTATGAAGTAATTGGCAATTTTAAAAAAATAACTAGGAAAAGGAAAAGACAATAAAAGGAAAGTACCGTTGAAAGTGGAAAGAGTCGATTTTGACAGAAGGAATAGCTGCCGAAGAGAGTGCCGTTAGTGGGCCCCTATCGAACAACCTAATTTTCCCACTTAAGCATTTAGGTCAAACTTTGACACAACCAGAGTTCCTTCCTTCCGCATTCCTTTTTTCTGTAAATTAGAAGGAGAGACTCTTGTATCTTTGCCTTTAATCAATCATATCTTCTCCGTGTTTCCTCCTTTTTTTTTGTTTGAATTCATAGCTTAAAAATCCCAAAACCCACTAAGAATATTTGAATTACTCAAACTTCTCTGTCAACTAAAATTACTCTCAAAAGTCAAACAGAGAGAAACAAGTGAGTTTTTTCTCTTCTTCTTTTCTCTTTGAATTCTTGGTTTTGTTTGAGAGATTTTTATTGCATGTTCTTTGACAATTTATCATCTAATTTTTCTTTTCCTTCTTCTATTTGTGGAAACTGTAGTGTATCCGAAGGTGAAGGTGAGGAGCCAGGACACAGATGATCAGCGATCAGGAGATGATCAAATCAGAAATTATTCGCTGTTTTTGAATGATTTTCAGTCTTTCTCTATTTATGATTCTTCTTCTTCAGGTATCCTTCCTGGATTATCAAATATTCCTAAATTGTTCAATATGTTTGCTCTGGATTTTTTCCTTACTAGAGGTGGTGTTGGGATTTGAGACTCAGTAGTTTTTGTGTGGATTTTTGTAACTTCTTTTGATCGTTTTTACTCCATAAAAACAGCTAGTCATGCATATTTTCATGAATGAATGTGTAAACATATATGAACTTAAGAAATAGAATCTTCATATACTAAAAATAGCTAATTTTTTTTTCAATTTCTAGTGAAGATATTAAAAGGATTGGAATAGTTTTTTCTTTCTCTGTCTCCTTGATTAATACGAGGTGGAAGCATTGAGGAGGAAAAAACTTTTTACCCTTAATATGGGAATATTTTCAACCAGCTGATACTTGTTTTAACAATTATGCTCTCCACTTTCATATTGAAAAAATGTAAATTAGCTAAAGGGCAAATAGCTAATATGGTTGATAGATGGTAAAAGTAGGATATTTGATGTTGAGAACACTATTTTAAATATTTATAAAACCTGTATGGCAATATTGGTTCTTTATTCTCCAACTTTCACTGCATAGGTAGCCTGTAAAACAGCTTCTTATCATTTTGACCAGCATTTGATTGACAAAATCCTTGATGACAATTTTTTGCTATAGTGAAGGAGCATCAAGATGTTTCTCAACCATTAGTGGCAAGGATGCCAAAGAATTACGTACCGGATATTATCAGACCCACAACATCTGACCAGAAAGGTTGAATTCTGACTTCATGTGATTAATGACGTACCAGAAAAATCTTTAGTTTTTTATTCGACCTTCTTTGGCTCTTACCGTTGAATCTACTTGATTCACAGGAGCTGAAAAGAACAACGAAAAATCTTATGATGACAACAAATCAAATATTAGGGCTAGTCCAGTTCCACGCCCCCGTGCTGTCCTCTCTAGTCCTGGTAATTTCATTTTACTTCATTTAGATAGAGTATATATTTTTCTTGTTTGTTGCTTTCCATATTTTCATGCAGTTTGGCAAGTATCAAAGGTAATGTGCATGCATTTCATTATTAATCTTGATTGGTGATTATCTAGAGTTTGTCGTGTATATGCAACAAAGAAACTAGATGATGCAGGACAAATTAGGATTAATTTGCCTTCTAAAAAATTAGGGAGAACCTATATATCACACATGAGATTCTTAAGTATCATATTTAAGTGTTAATTAAGTCAAGATTTTTAGAGAAAAATAAATTACTAATTTTTATTTCTTATTTTTTATGTTTATACTTAAATATATATATATATATATGGTAGTTATTCTTATTTTATTTGAATTCTAACAATAAAATATAATTATACTATTAAAATATAATTATACTATTAGAAGTCTAACTAATATAGTATTTTACTTAATATGAAATCTTTATCAACATTCTCCCTCAACCTGATGCAAAAATATCACACATGCATAACTTGCAAATCAGGATCTGAAGAGATTTATTATATAATCCTTTAGTGAACCTATATATCACACCTAGAATTCTTAAGTATCATATTTAAGTGTTAATTAAGTGAAGATTTTTAGAGAAAAATAAATTACTAATTTTTATTTCTTATCTTTTGTGTTTATACTTAAAATATATATATAGTAGTTATCCTTATTTTATTTGAACTCTAACAATAAAATATAATTATACTATTAGAAGTCTAACTAATATAGTATTTTACTTAATATGAAATCTTTATCAATACTCTTCCTCAACTTGGCGCAACAATATCACACATGCTTTGTAACGACCCCGAAAATTCAAAAGAAAATATATATAATAATCTGAGTGCGGAAGCGAAATAAAAGATTAAA